GTCGTCCAAATCGCCGAGGTCGCCCACGTGACCGACTGGCCATGTGTGTGGAAGACGTTGAGAAGGTTGTAAATAACCGACTTCGAGACTTAAAGATTGGTGGAAATTTTGAAGATACACTACGCATGGAAGTAGACCGAGCAAATTCCTCACCTTTCACTGCCGAAATCGAGCAGGCTACTCCTCCGAAACGATTCTCAGCGCCCTCTTTCACCTGCTTCAAAGGGGATTCCGATCCCGAAAGCCATCTGAAGCATTTCAAGAGCCTTATGATATTCTACAAAGCCGAAGACGCGCTAATGTGCAAGGTGTTTGCAATAACTTTGCGAGGAGCAGCTCAGGACTGGTTCCATACTCTGCCCTTCGGGTCGATCAACAGTTTCAAGGAGCTTGCTTATGTCTTCACCAAAGAGTACACTTCTTATCGGACGATCAAGAAGAACCCTGACCACCTGTACAACCTGCGCAAGAAGCCCAATGAATCTCTTCGAGATTACATCAAGAGATTCAAAGCAGAAAAGGCTAACATCGTTGGATGCGATGACCGAATCGCGTCCTCTGCATTCAAGAAAGGTCTTCCAGCTGAGCACGACTTATACCGCGAGCTGACTATCACTCCCAGCCAGACTCTGGCAGAGGTCTTCGCGACTGCGGAACGCTACGCGCTCTGGGATGACGATCGAATCGCCGCGAAGAAGTCCACCGAGCGGGAAGATCAGCCGACCAAGCGGGCAAGCCCAAAAAGCGACAGGTTTAGCAGCAGGGAAAAAGACAAACGTAGGTCGCGCCCACAAGGAGACGCTACGACGAAGGAGAACTACACCAAGTTCTCCATCCCTATACATCAAATTTTAGCCCAAGTAAAGGACAAACCTTGGGTAAAAAGACCGCCACCCTTGAAAGGAGATCCGGATAAGAGGGATACCAGAAAGTATTGCGCCTTCCATGCGACACACGGGCACAATACGAATAATTGCTTTGCTTGGAAAGCGCACCTAGAAGAACTCGTGAGAGAAGGTCACTGCACGGAGTTCATCGCGAAGCAGGCCATCCAACGAATTGAGGACCGCGATGCCGCCAAGGAGCCACCTCAAAAAGTCATAAGGATTAACACAATCCTGGCTCATTCCGAAGAGTCTGGGCTGACCAGCAAGGAAAAGAAGAGGAAAATCAAACAGGCCACTATCATCTCCCAGATCTCCACTAGTCTCCCACCGGCGGAAGACGATCCAGTGATCGGCTTCCAAAAGAAAGATCTAGTCGGCCTCGATCTGCCACACAACGACGCTCTTGTCATTAGCATTCAAATCGCTCAGGCCATGGTCGATCGAATCCATGCAGACGAGGGCAGTGCAGCCAATATCCTACAATTGGCAGTCATCCAGCAGATGGGCTTAGAGACAAAGATCAATAAATCAGCTAGGTCACTAACCGGCTTCAATGGTGCAACAACGGTTACCGTGGGCACAATAGATCTCGACGTCTACTCCCCACCTGTAATCAGCTCGCAAACATTCATGGTAATTGATGAAGTCTCGCCCTACAATGGCATTCTGGGCAGACCATGGATCAGCAAGATCAACGCCATCACCTCCGCCACACATCAGAAAATCCGCTACCCTATCCCTGGGGGCGGTATCGGTCAGATCAACAGTGATCAAGCAATGGCGAGGAAATGCTCAGCTCAAGGGCTGAAGAGAAGCAAACAAACACAGTTCCTCCCTGTAAATTAGGCAGATATGAGGGGAGTAGAGCAACCAGAGGAGAAGGCAAATCCCGTTCCTGACGATCGAGCAGACCAGAAAGGAAAGGGAATAGCTACTCCCCAATAGCAATCAAAGAAACTATTTACACTAGTGCATACAACAAACTCGTATGTTCTATTTAACAAACATATACAAAAACTCTTCATTTTTTTGAATATATTGTTTTGATGTGGTGTTGCATTCTACAAAACTAGTGTCAACGATCCAACCAGCAGACTTGTTCGTTTATACTTAGAGATCGTACACGCCAAAAATTGGAAAAAATATACAATCATACATGTTGTAACGGGACCAAAATTTTCGACGATTATAAACGAAAAATCACAATTTAACGGTTAATTTAACTCCAAATTTGATGATTCTTTGAGCTCTGCACACCTTGACCCCATTTGAATACAATAAATGAATTTGATGTTCATTTAAAAATATTTATCATGTAGTTTCGACAAATTTTTTTTTGAAGTCTTTGCGCGACGAACAATGAAGAATACGTCACGCAAAGTGAAATAGAAAATAATAAAGAATTTATATTGATTAATTTTTAAACGACGTTGTGCGACGAGGCCATCTTATTCGTCGCGCAAATACTATTATCGCGACGACATAATGTGTCTTCGTCGCGTATAGAGGGTTTATATTATTTGGCGAAAATTGCAAATTTTTTGGAGAAAAATCCTTGAGCGACGACACTATATTATTCGTCGCGCAAGGATGATTCTTATTATTTCGCAATAATTGCGGATTTTTTCAAAGAAATCTAATCCGCGACGAGGCTAGCTTATTCGTCGCGTAAGATACCGAAGATGTTTTTTGCGCGACCAGGGTATCGCATTCGTCGCGCAATCTTAACTTTTCCCACATAATCTCCTAATTTTGTAAAATAATGGAAATAGTTGTAACAAAATGCATTTTCAAATGTAATTGACTAAAATCTACATTCTAGCAAGCGACGTGACGTCTTTCAATCGTTTAAGCTGTGTTTTAAAGTTGCAAATGAAGTAAACTATAGGTTTAAGCTTTTGATCTTCAAGTCTTGAACCATGACTTCTCTTCGTAGGGAAGTTGATAACCCTACATAAAGGTATGAATGATGAGCTTATCTAAATTTATTGAAAAGCTTATGATTTACATGGCAAAATTCAAATTAAGGCATGGGAATAAATGGAAATTAAGGCATGGGGAGCTTATGATGAGCTTATCTAAATTTATCGAAAGTTTCTTGCAAGACGAATGTTATACTCGTCGCGCAAAATATACACAACGCCGTACCATTATTCTTCGCGCAAGGGTCATTTCTGTGACTTCAATTTTTTTGTATATTTGTTACCTTGCGCGACGAAGACTTCCGTCCCGCAAATATTCCTCTTGCGACGCCATGATTTTATTCGTCGCGCAAAGGTGATTTTCTATTATTTCAACATTTTTTTTGTGAATGGAGATTTAAGGAAGCTCAAATGTTTAGGATAAATAACTAAAATTAAATAAATGGAAGCTCAAATGTACAAAGCAATTGCAATAGGAAGGAGACAAATTTGGTTATATTCTCTTTCACCCGAGGTGATAATTTAGAATCTTATTTATGTGTATTAAGACAAGAATACTTCTCTCTTTTTGTAGTACAACTCAAGTACATGAGCATTGAGAGGCCTTTTGAAGTAAACCATTGGCAAGAGCATTGAGATTCTTTCTCTATTTGAGATGTATATGATGAAATTGGGAAGATGTGCAAAAATGAATGGACAAATCAACTTAGTTGACAGATTGTACGTATGCAAGGATGTTTAAATTCTTTTTTCATTTGGATTGCAACTTTTCAGACACGAGATTCATTTGTACTTTTTAAAAAATTTGCATTTACGCCATAATTAAATGTAAAAGAATTTAATTAAAAAAGTATGAATGACTTGATTTCATTGTGTTTGTACAATATATGGCCAAGCATTCCCAAGCCAATCCAAGCAAAGGGAAGGGAGAACCACATCGACAAAACACAAGAGAAGGGGACTCTCCCTTCCCTATAAAAGAAGACCCCTCTCCTTCAAAGGAGAGGGAGAAAGAAAGAGGTTGGGTAGGCTACTAGGGCCTCATGGGCTTACCCATGAGCCCATTTACAAGCCCACGAATCATCGGCCATCAGCCAGATCATCTGCCTTCGGCCAG